GTATTTAGGGTTAATGGGTGGTTATTTGCTATATTTAAAAGTGAAGAAATCAGACAACAACGAATGTAGTGCCTGACACGTACAGCAAGTGCCCTCTAAAAATTATTGGCCTTTCCGTCATCTCATACATCTAACTTTCAGTTACTTCATGGTCACCTCATTTAAATCCTGCATATATGTTTGGCAAGATGGATTGTCTCTTAATGCAGAAATGCTGCCAGCATGAAGCTAACAAATCTAAAGATACAATCATGCCGAAACTAGAAATCACCTCTACTCCAACAGGAGTTGTTCAGCTGCTACTTCTGTATGGATTTTGGACAGATTTCCCTTGTCCTGAGGGAGACACATAGCATTTAAAAGCCTCACCAACACTTGCTGGCTATATATCTTCCTTTTGCTTTTTAAATTTATGTATAGAACTATACCCATAAAACAGGTTAATGCTTTTCAAATCCACCATAACACTCACTGTATATTTCTTGAAGCAGTTACCTTGGGATATCAATGAATTTAAGAGATGGATTTAAATAAATTGGTTAACTGTTGTTGCCAGAGGTGTTAGAATTTATTCTTTGCCTTGATAAGTGAGAAGTTCTGTGGCATGAGACATGGCAATAACTTTGATGTTTCACTTCAGGAAACATGATAGACCAGAAAGAAAGAATATAGTCTTGAGAGTTAAGAGCCCTGGGTTCTTATCCTAACATAGTTGACTGAGTGATGAGGGCAAAGGATAAAAGTGGACTTGCACATACTGGCGAAAATCACCAGCTTTGCAATCAGGATGCTTAGGTAAAAATGCAGCTTGAATCTTTTATTATTCTATGACCGTGAACAGATTTCTTGATATATCTGAGTTCAGTTTCTCTGTCTACAAAATGAGGATAGTGGTAGTATCTTCTCCATTTTGTGTGTGTGTGTGTGTGTGTGTTTGTGAAACATAGGCAATACTAGATATAAAAAACTCAGGAAAGAGCTTGGAAAAATGGACTCACTCTATAAGTAAGAGTTCATGTTGTTGTTGTTATTATCATATTTGAACTCTATTTTCTTTCATAAGATATGAGAGAACTGGGATATTGACCTCTAATAGCATTTTCAAGGGTCACATACTAGGATTTTTTGTTTGTTTTTCTTTCAGTTCATTTCAGTCACTGGGTCATGTCCAAGTCTTTATGACCCCGTGGACTGCAGCAGGCCAGGCTTCCCTGTCCATCACCAATTCCTGGAGCTTGCTCAAACCCATGTCCATCGAGTCAGTGATGCCATCCAACCATCTCATCCTCTGTTGTCCCCTTCTCCTCTACCTTCAGTTTTTCTCAGCATCAGTGTCTNCATGAGTTACTCTGCATATAAGTTAAATAAACAGGGTGACAATATAGAGCCTTGCTGTACTCTTTTCCCAATTTGAAATGAGTCCTTTGTTCCATGTCCAGTTCTAACTGTTGCTTCTTGACCTGCATACAGATTTCTTAGGATGCAGGTAAAGTGGTCAGTATTCCTGTAAGAATTTTCCAGTTTGTTGTGATCCACACAGTAAAAGGCTTTAGTGTAATCAACGAAGCAGAAGTAGAGGTTTTTCTGGAACTCTCTTGCTTTTTCTATGATCCAGTGGATGTTAGGAATTTGACTTCTGGTTCCTCTACCTTTTCTAAATCCAACTTGAACATCTGGAAGTTCATGTACTGTTGAAGCCTAGACTGGAGAATTTTCAGCATGACTTTGCTTCCCTCTGAGATGAATGCAATGTGCGGTAGTTTAAACATTCTTTGGCATTGCCTTTCTTTGGGATTGGGATGAAAACTGACCTTTTTCAGTCCTGTGGCCACTGCTAAGTTTTCCAAATTTGCTAGCTTATTGAGTGCAGCACTTTCCCAGCATCATCTTTTAGGATTTGAATTAGCTCAGCTGAAATTCCATCACCTCCGCTAGCTTTATTCGTAGTGATGCTTCCTTTGTGGATTTCTTAAAAATCCATTTTTAGATCAGATCATTGAAAGTACATAAGAATTTGTCTTGTTTACTACTGATTTTTATCACTGAAAAGAGTATCTGCTGATATGTACAATAAATATTAGGTTTCCCAGGTGGTGCAGTGGTAAAGAATCTATCTGCCTGTGCAGGAGACATGAGTTTGATTCCTGGATTGGAAAGACACCTTGGAATAGGAAATGGCAACCCATTCCAGTATTCTTGCTTGGAAAATTCTATAGACAAAGGAACCTGGCTGGCTACAGTCCATGGGGTTACAAAGAGTCGAGCACAACTGAATGAGTGGGCACACACCCACAATAAACATTAGTTGAATGTGTACAAATTCATGGGCACCAGATAGACCTAATCAAATCAGCATCTATGAGACTGATACTTAGCGAATTGCTTCCTAATCAACTGCCTCGGGCTATGTAGATGTAGTAATCTGTGGTCTACTCTGTGAAAGGTATAGTTTTAGGGGATCTAAAGTGACCATATAATGTATTGTCAAATAGGGGACACTTTTAGGTGTAAACAGGGACTTTGATAAGCATGACTACAAAGCAGGCATAAATCTAGACTTGATTTATTGTGGGGAGATGTAGACACCCTAAAAGTGACAATGTATCAGTAAGTCAAGAGGAATAATGATACACAGCTCTTGACTATGGCAGCAAGTCATTTGTATGCAAGATCTCTCGAAGTTTATTTTCTTGGTCTGAGTTTTAGGAAAGCCAGTTGAGCTGGCAAACTTATAAGACTGATTTGACCCAGAGTCAGGAATTTATGTAACTGTTACATTCTTATTTAGGAAAGATATTGAATCAGAAGCAGCAAGTAATGTAGGGGAATTCAATCAGTGATGGCAACTTGAACACATATGAAAAATACACATTTTAAAGGTATGTTTAAAGATCAAGGGGTACGAAACCCAAGAACAACCCATAATAGATCAGCACTTCCAAAATCCTACCTAGTATCTCAGGGAATTCAATCTCCTTATTGGCACTCGATCTGAGAAAGTGAATGCCTCCCCCCAGTTAGGACCCTTTGCTGTCTTTTTTGAAACTGTTTCTCTCTTGATTCCATGCTCCTCCCAACTCCAAAACACTGAAGTATGAACAGGCTACTTACAAACTGTTTTCTTTCATCCTTTTTCATGATCCAGTCTCATTCAAAAAGAGGATTATCCAGGTATGGACATCAGTTCTAATACTGTATTAGTTATCCATACTAGTGGGAAATAGATGCAGTTTCGGGGTAACAGGAAACTGTTTATGGGAAGCACCAGGAGTGAAGCCAATCCTGGCATCAGGTTTGAAGTTAGATCGTGTTTACTTGGGATGCCAAAGGAAAGGCGAAGGAAGTAGGCATATGCAAGCATAAAAGTACAAAATCAAGTTAGCATTCAGGAGACACTCCTGAATGAGCTGGCCAGATTTCCTGGCTGGTAGAAGTTGTCTACATCATATGTACACAGATTTGTTTGTGTGTGTGTGTGTGACTGTGTGTGTAATTAGTTTCCGGCATTATTTCTTACCAGGTATGTGTGTTTCTCTTTTTCTGCTTTCAACACTATATTTCCTAATGAGCCAAATGAGCACACTGAGAAAGCTTTTTCATGGTCATAAGGCTGAAAAGGAAAAAAAAAAGTGAAAAGTCCACTGCATAAGGCAAGGCAATGGATGATACCCAGACAAGACAGGGATGATTATTGGCCACTTCAGGCACCTGGATGATCGGTGTTTTCAAACAGAACCATCATTCCACTGCAGAGTCTCTCTCTGTCTAGCAGCTACAAATAGATCCAAGAGTTGCCAGGGTTTCTGTCTTCTAATCTCATTATACAGACCACTAAAATGAGCAAAGGAATAAGTCCCCAAAGCTTTCATGTAGTTAATGGCAGGAGGGGGAAGCCTGCCTTTGATACATACCTGTTCAGCATACCTAACTCACCGTGTGCCTTTCTTTAAAAAGCGATTTAATGGGGGTGTCTTTCTTTCAAAAGCAATACTGCAGTAATGTTATTGACCACTTCAGCATGTGAGTGAGTGAATATGTGTGCACATGTGTGTAAAAGAGAGAAAGAAACAGAAATGAAAACAGTTCCATTTTTAGGACAAATACTGTTGTGTTTGCAAAGTCAGTGTTAGTTGCTCAATCGTGTCTGACTCTCAGTGACCCCATAGTCTGTCCATGGAATTCTCCAGGCAAGAATACTGGAGTGGGTTGCCATTACCTTCTCCAGGGGATCTTCCCAGTGCAGGGATTAAGCCCGGGTTTCCTGCATTGCAGGCAAATTCTTTACAGTCTGGGCTACCAGGGAAGCCTAATAGGCAAACTAGTGTGCCCTGTGCCTAGGTTGTGAAGGAATTTACTAGAGAAGATGGCACTAAAATTATTTAGAAGAGGTCTGCACCGGAAAATAAAAACTATGAAATTTTATTGTGTTTCTGTACTCAAAGTGATGTAATAAAATTACTTTGCAAACAGGGAGGCTGTGTTGGTATCCATCTATATTTTTGAGGTTCAGGACAGTGTGTCTTTGGAATTTTACTTTAAAAAATTACTGTTTTTGTGTTTTCATTCATGGATTCCTTGGTTAAACTTTCATGGTAGTAGAATGTTTGTGCTGTGATGTCTATGTTTTAGAGTACTTGAATCATTATGTGGGGCTTTGATTAATGAATTGAAAACTGAGAGACTCAAAAACAGACAGCTTCTGTTTCTCTCAGTACTTCTGAGCATTTGCTGGAAGTCAAATACCATTAATGAATCGAGTGGGTGCTTCTTGGCACTTTATTATTCAACAGTCATCTTAATTGTGAATAATTCCTAAGAGCACTGGAGTGAAATATGAAAGGGATGGATGTTAAAAAAAAAAAAAAATCAAGTTTTCATCACAAAGCTGAGTCTCAGAAAAATTTAGCAAAGATCCAGTGTAATGAAAGACAAAATTTTAATTTTAAAATTAGATAAAATTTATTGGATATTCATATCAAATGGGAAACTTTGCAAAAAATGTCACTAGCAATTTGGGGTAAGAATATGTAGGCTTTTTAGGGGCAGAGACTTTTGTAATAGACTCAAGATTAGCACACCGGAGACCTAAAGAGAAAGACAATGATAACGATGATAATTGTGACAGCATTTCTGTACTACAGGAACTCTCCAAATATTCTGTGTAACATTTGATACCATTAGCCACCCTAGGAGGTAGATCCTATGACTGATATGTCCATTTTACTGATGAGAAAACTAAAGTACCAAAAAGGATTTACAGTTTGCCCAAGGCTTCACAACTTTTGAATGAGAACTTGGCAGAAATTGGATTCAGACTTACGTAGTCTGATTCCACAGCATGTCTTTAAATCATGCTTTGCTTCCCTTGGTAAATATAAATGTAGGGATGAATAGGTGAAAAATAGTTAACAATATAATAGTAGCTAACATATTTCTATGGCCCGAGCACTTGTCTCATGCACCCAACCTGGGCTGGTGATCTGTTTCACCCTAGATAATAATAGACTCAAGATTAGCACACCGGAGACCTAAAGAGAAAGACAATGATAACGATGATAATTGTGACAGCACTTCCTGTACTACAGGAAGTGTCCAAATATTCTCTGTAACATTTGATACCATTAGCCACCCTAGGAGGTAGATCCTATGACTGATATGTCCATTTCACTGATGAGAAAACTAAAGTACCTAAAAGGATTTACAATTTGCCCAAGGCTTCACAACTTTTGAATGAGAACTTGGCAGAAATTGGATTCAGACTTATGTAGTCTGATTCCACAGCATGTCTTTAAATCATGCTTTGCTTCCCTTGGTAAATATGAATGTAGGGATGAATAGGTGAAAAGTAGTTAACAATATAATAGTAGCTAACATATTTCTAGTCAGTATGTACGCCAGGCACTGTACTAAAGACTGTACCAACACTAACACATTCAATCCTTAAAACATACCTGGGAGGTAAATAGCAGACTGCTGCCTGCCAACCCGTTACACAGATGAGGTAACTGAGGCGTAGAGGTTAAATAACTTGTCAACAGTCGGTAAATCTGAGAGACATTTGTCTGTCCCACAACTCCATCTTTGAGGCCAGTATTTGTAATTTTATATTTCTGTGAATGAATCTTCAACTTGTGTCACAGAGACCACACACCCAATTCTCTAAGAGGCCAAACTATACTGATGTACCCTATCCAGAGGGAAAGTCGGGGATTGTCAAAGTCACTCCAGGACAACAAGCGTAAGCTGGATCTTTCTAGATTGTCTTCACATAGACAGTGACAGAGTGCTGGACTCATAATCTGTGTTTAAGAAGAAACTCAGTTAAAATCTGTAAAAGGCCATCCAATCTTGTGTTAATTTTTCTATTTAGACCTCTTGTGACAAAGAGGGCAGTGGTGCTGGTTTGAGCCGAGCTGCTGTGACGAAATACAACAGGCTGGGTGGCTTATAAACCACAGAGAAGTATATCCCACAGTCCTTGAGGCTGGAGTTTAAGATCTGAGTGCCAGCGTGATTTGGTTCTGGTGAGATCCCTCTTCTGGCTTGTGGACGGTTGACTTCTCATTGTATCTTCATATGGTGGAAAGAATGCTAGAGAAATGTCTGAGGTTCCTTTTCTAAAGGTCACTAATACCATCCATGAGGGCTCCAAACTCTTGACCCAATTACCTCCCAAAGGCCCTATATTGAAGGGATTGGGGGAGTAGGATATTGACATTTTAACTGTGTGCGGACTCAGACATTCAGTCTATTGTAGGTGGTATGATTACTTCTGTGTGTCTTTCCAGATCCACAAATTCTTCTCCAAGAAGCCCTCCTTAAACTCTCTTCTCCTGTTGGTCTCATACATTCTTTGCTTCCCTCTGTTGTAACTCTAATCAAATAGTATCCTCTTATTTGGTTATTGTTTGTCTTCTCTGTTCCTCTATGAGGCTCCAGAGGACTTGAAATGCCTATTTTTGTATCCTCTTGACCCAGTGCAGTGCATGACACATGGCAGGCACTCAATGCATACTTAAATGTGGCAAGGGAGGAACAAGTTTTCTTGGTGACAATAGTATTGTCATGTATTAGCCAGTTTTTCATGTGTATTCATCAACATTGCATCAAAATTTGGGATCATCATTGCTTGGGACAGATTTTCTGATTAAGGAGTAAAATTATCACAAATTATTCAGTGGATACATGGCTAATTCATGTCAATGTATGACAAAAACCACTACAATATTGGAAAGTAATTAGCCTCCAACTAATAAAAATAAATGAAAAAAAATAAAAAAAGAAATTAAAATACCAACTTGGAAAAAAAAAAGATATAAGACTGAAAAAAAAAATTATTCAGGGGAGAAGGCAATGGCAACCCACTCCAGTATTCTTGCCTGGAAAATCCCATGGACAGAGGAGACTGGTGGGCTACAGTCCATGGGGTCACAATAGGTTGGACATGACATTGTGACTGAACACACAAATTATTCAAATACTCATTCAGTCACTCATGGTAATAGCTCACAGTCTTTCAGGCAGTAAAGGATAGCACTGATGATTGAGCTAACATTTCATTAAAACTGCAATTCAGTTTCAGAATGTGGTGGTGAATCCATCCCAAACTATCTCAGCTTTGGAAAAAGTTTCTATTCTCATGGGTGAGAATAGAATGATCTGATTGGTTGGGCTACTGAGGTGACATTAAAGGGACACTCCAGAGTTTGATATCAGGTTCTGAATAAGTCTGAAGCCTCCCTGGGTACCTGTTTCCAAAACTCACTTGCATTTGGCTGTATAAGTTCTGGTCTATTTGTGAACAATTAGTGACATTACATTTTCTCATAACCTGTATTAGACCCCATTCAGGCATGTAATCAGCATGTGCTTAAAGCAGAGTGTGGGGAGACTGTCTGCTGTTCCAGTGCTACTTTTGGGGTGGGAGTGTCACCCAGCTTCCTCCTAGGTCTTAGCATTTATGTGGTGCTTCTTAATAATTCTGATAAGACTTTTTGATTTTTGTTGCATGAGTAAAAAAGAAACTTTGTATCTTTTTAGATAAAGACTCAAAAAAAGTTGTCTTTCCTAGGGTAGGTGGGTCCCACCAGGCTATAAAGCAGTAATTTCTCTTAAAGTATTCACAGACACGAACGTTTAAGCAAATTAGGCTATTATCTCAACTTCCAAATTAGAGGCAAACATTCCTTTCAAGTCAATAGAAAGTTCTATTTGAGATAATATGGTTGCCTCAGTATTATTATTTCTTTTGGGTGTGTTTTATAACTGTATCCAGTAGTCACAACGTTCGTATTTTATGCCAAATATCCATTGCATAACCAATCAGTTTGAGCATTTAGGTTAGTTTTCTATCCTACTTCTTTTTGTTTTTACTTCTACTTTTATTTTTGCTTAGGAGCATATTCTTCTAGACAGCTTTCTTGCCTTCATCCCCACACCTCCGCCCCTGCCAACCAAATCCATTCTATGCTTTAAAATTCTAGAAAATTAAATTTGTGCAAGTTAGAAGATAAACAAATGGCTTAAAAACATTACAATCAAGTATGATAATGGCAAAGTGTTATACTTTTAATAAATGATTAGGAACGGTTGTAATGCAAAGATTTATTTCACAGAACAAAAGCACTTAAGCAGGAGTTTATATTACTGCTATGCTTCAATGGTGATAACATTGGGACTTCAACCTGCATAGCTACAATGATTAATTAACGGTCTTGTTCGGGATGAGTGAGCACCATTATTGTTCTTAAATAGGAAAAGGCAGATAACCATTACTGATTATTTCACAATTCCCAGTCTTACTTGTTAAAGACTAAAGAATGCTAAAGTAGGTTGTACGATTTCCAAGCTGCTATGAGAAACAGAAAATAATAGAATTTCTATACCATGCATATAAGATTAGTGAAAAGGTCCAAGTTAGCAGTCAGAATTGTCTCTGAAGGTCTAAATTTAAAATTCATTCATATTAGTAACATTTTAACACCTTTATGGAGAAATAATTCAGGTTGCTAGTATATACTTCAAGCTGTGTTTCTCTACCAAAACTACCTCCCATCAAAATAAGTACAGTTAAGATCAAATAACACAGTCAATGTAATGAAAGTATTTTCCATAAGCATGGCTTTGTTTACTTATTTTTATTTTGTTTTGTTGCTTTCTGGGGCATTAATGAATTATATCAGGTATTGTGTTCTTAAATCATAACACCACACTGATTCTTCTGATGAAAATTAATTTGGGCAAGTTCTGTAAAAGTGAAAGTTGCTCAGTCATGTCCAACTCTTTGTGACCCCATAGACTATACAATCCATGGAATTCTCCAGGCCAGAATACTGGAGTGGGTGGCCTTTCCTTTCTCCAGGGGATCTTCCCAACCCAGGGATCGAACCCAGGTCTCCCACATTGCTGGTGGATTCTTTACCAGCTGAGCCACAAAGGAAGTACATGTTCTATGAGTTAGATACAATTTCTTTTTGAGTCCTTGAAATGCTTCTACCAAATCTCTTCTGGAAATTCTATCACCATCTTAAAATTGGAGGAGTAAACACTTTTCAGCTTATTTCTGAAGGAATTTCAGCATATTTCTTTGGGATTCTATGACTGGTAGGATATAGCAGTTAAATGCTGTTGATGGACCCTGGAAAACTTCTGAGATGCCCTGACTCTAGAGCAAGATAGGAATGTTTCTTTTGCTTTTGACCACCAGATAGAAACCCTGAATATTCATTGGAAGGACCGATGCTGAAGCTCCAATTTATTTTGTTTTGTTGCTTTCTGGGGCATTAATGAATTATATCAGGTATTGTGTTCTTAAATCATAACACCACACTGATTCTTCTGATGAAAATTAATTTGGGCAAGTTCTGTAAAAGTGAAAGTTGCTCAGTCATGTCCAACTCTTTGTGACCCCATAGACTATACAATCCATGGAATTCTCCAGGCCAGAATACTGGAGTGGGTGGCCTTTCCTTTCTCCAGGGGATCTTCCCAACCCAGGGATCGAACCCAGGTCTCCCACATTGCTGGTGGATTCTTTGCCAGCTGAGCCACAAAGGAAGTACATGTTCTATGAGTTAGATACAATTTCTTTTTGAGTCCTTGAAATGCTTCTACCAAATCTCTTCTGGAAATTCTATCACCATCTTAAAATTGGAGGAGTAAACACTTTTCAGCTTATTTCTGAAGGAATTTCAGCATATTTCTTTGGGATTCTATGACTGGTAGGATATAGCAGTTAAATGCTGTTGATGGACCCTGGAAAACTTCTGAGATGCCCTGACTCTAGAGCAAGATAGGAATGTTTCTTTTGCTTTTGACCACCAGATAGAAACCCTGAATATTCATTGGAAGGACCGATGCTGAAGCTCCAATATTTTGGTGAGTGGCCAAAGAGCTGACTCGTTAGAAAAGACCCTGATGTTGGGACAGATTGAGGGCAAGAAGAGAAGGGGGTGACAGAGGATGAAATGGTTGGATGGCATCATTGACTCAGTGGACATGAGTTTGCACAAACTCGGGGGGATGGTGAAGGACAGGGAAGCTGCAGTCCATGGGGTCACAAAGAGTCAGACATGACTGAGAGACTGGGCAGCAGCAACAACCAGACCGTGAGGAGCATCACAGGGTCTATGACTGACTAAAGTCATAGACTGCATAAAGTCAGCATAAAGTCAGTTATTCTGACTAAAGTCAGCAAAAGTGATGGCTTGGTAGCTGCTGTAACACTCACTGAAAAGATTCTGAAGAGAAGAATTTTGTGGCTTTTATTATTTATATTTTTAAGAAAATATTTAATTTTTTTCAGTATTTAACTCACTTCATTATATTTTTTTGCTATTTTGGAAGAGCAGATTTACACAATGTTATGTTTTCTTAATGCCTGCAAAACTATCAAACTATTTTGCAGATGAGGGAATGGACAGCAAGAGGAATTACTTCTCTAATGTTTCGCAGCCAGTAATGAAAAAAACAAAAACTGAGACTGAAGTGTAGGCCACCCTCTTAAAGCCTAAGACAAAGAACGGGCTTTCCTTCTATAATATATAATATTTCCAGGGAGGGGATGTTACTCTTTATTTATTCAAAAGTCATGCCCTATCTAGTTCCAAAAAGTGTGAGAAACTATTTGTAAACTATGAATATTAGAGATATGGGTTGTCAAATAGTCAAACATTAAAACTATTTAATTCAAGGAATTTTTAGAGGAATAGTTCATTCAAGTACATTCATACCATGGAATTTTGTTGCTAGCATTTCAAGTAAAGAGGTAGATCTGTACACACTGTATTGTACATCTCAAAGAAATGCAGGTCATCTGATGGGCTGAGCATGTGATCTTGTTAACGTACTGGATTTGTGTGTTTATCTTACTGTTTCTATACATATTCATGAATAGAAGTTTTTGTTTTAAATCTTAGTTCTCATTTTGGCCATTCTGCATGACATGTGGGATCTTAATTCCCCCACCAGGGATTGAACCCATGTTCCCTGCACTGGAAGGTGGCGTTTTAACCACAGGACTCCAAGGGAAATCCCTAGAAGTTTTGTTTGTTTGTTTTGTCTTTAATGTTTCACAACATTAATTACTTATAGCATAGTTACTCACAGCATAAGTAGTTACTTATAGTTACTTATAGCATGATTAGTCAAATGCGCCAGGGCTAGGGGTCCAAAAGATTTCATGGTACTTAGATTTTAGTCCATATTCTATATTATTTGACTCTTTAAAAATACAGGTTCTTAAAAAAAAAAAATACAGGTTCTTGTTCCTGATGCGATTATCTCCCGCTTATTCCCCCTCCCTGCTTCCCCTGATTAAGTACTTAGTTTTTAGTATATTTTCCATATCTTCAAAGTCAAAACTTTCTATAAACCCGGAGCCCTGCAATTGGAGTGCTCTAGCTAGCACATGGCATAGCTGAAGAAAATCTTTGAGAAGTTTGACCTTCCTCTGCCTTGTCCGACTCCTGGGCAATGCTTTCCTAATGAGATTATAGGTATTACCAGTGATACCCAAATCTGGCTATGCTTCAGAGTCATCTGTATAGGCTTTTGGGAGCCACTGATGGCTGTGAGAAGTGCTTTAGTAATTTAATTTTCTGGCTGGAAGGACATTTTTGAACTGAAGTGTATTTTTTTTTTTTTTTGGCTACATCTTAAAAATCATTGACTTTTAGTTATCTGAAGAATTTCAGATTATCCCCTTCAATCACTTAATTTGACAAATATTAAAAGTGAGGTTCAGAGCAGTTAAGTGAATTTTCCAAGGTCACAGAGCAGGTTATTGGAAATCATTGTTACATGTATTAGTACATTCTCCTGCCTTGTTAGCTACAATCTAATGAGTAAAATTTAATCTCCTTGTGATCCTTGGGTCTTCTGGTAGGCCTGTAATCATTATGAACATTAGTGATTAACATATGGGAAAGCAAGATGAAAAATGGGTTAATGAGTGGAATTTATTCATATTTTAATATTTAAGAGAATGATTCATTACTTTCCCCCAGAACCACTCCTCTTGCCATTTTACCCTTTTCTCCTAAAACAAACAAACAAACAAACAAAAAACCATATAGAACAGAACCTTTTTTAAAACAAAGTTTGTAACAGGTCAGTTTCTGGAACTTTTTAATTGAACTTAGAGTTTCATTTATAACAAGAACCTAGACGTGGACTTCCGTGGTGGTCCACTGCCAATAAAGGGGATGTGGATTCAATTCCTGCTCTGGAACCAGGATTCCACATGCTGTGTGGTATGGCCAAAAGATTTTTTTTTAAAGGAAAAGAAAAAACTTGTAGAAATCTGTCTAGTCCCTTTATCCATTTTGTCCTTCAGATCAACTTTTATAGTCCTTTTACAGATAACTAGTTTTTTCCACAACTGTCCCTATTTCAGGGGGCAGAGGTGATCAGGTTTCTAAACAAGTTCATTGGATCTGACATCTCACTTGTTAAATTGTGGTTTCCACAAGTCTACAAAACCGTCATGATTGTGAAGAATGAGTATCTATGGGAAGGTACATATCTTACTCCAATGTAATTTTTCTAGACAATACTGAGAAAGAAAGGGCAAAGCATATTTATATGTAAACAGTTTTCAAAAGATGTTGAAACTATCAACTACATGCAGAAATTAATATATATATAATATATATGTTACTTACCTATCTGCAGATACATGCTGCTAATTGCAAAAGAAAAATTTCAAGTTTTAAAAATACAGAAAATTAATATTACTTTTTTTGTAAGAAGGAAGATTTTTTTAAAAAGATGAATCTTACAAAGTAGCCTCATGTTTTGCTGAGCTCACAGTAGTTTCCGTGATGGAACTTTTAAATTATTTGTAAAATAATAGACTATGGTATCTTTTCCATTATTGAATTAAAATGGATATATTTGTCCATAGATACCTTGGAAGAGCTCATCTGCTAAATCTCAGGGTTATGAGATGTTAGACTGATAGGCTTGTACCAAATGAAATAAATAGACGTTAGGAACCTATATTCATCAATGCAGTTTTCCCTTCCTCTAAAATTCCCACTTCTCTTTAGGCTTTAATTTGGGGTGACATGCATGCTGTGATTGTTACAGCTATTACCTATGAACACTTGCCCTGTCCACGGCCCTATGTCACATGCTACATGAGAAACCAAGGGGCCACAAAAAAGGTCCCAGTCCCTGGGACCATCTGAGAAGTATTTGGGTCAAACTGACAGTGGAAATTAACACACATTTTTTTTTTTTTCTTCCTCTATTGTACCATATACCTTCTCCTTTCCTATTCTGTCTTCTTGGCTTATTAAGAGGAGTTGCTTATATAAGGCACTGTTTAAAGACAGTTTTAACTCAGAAAACTAATCAGCTGACAGTGTTTACTTTAGAAATGTGTTATTGTAAACTCTACCTCTGCCTCTTTGAGATGTTAAAAAAAAAAAATTAAAGCCTCTTTCTCAAGGAAAAAAAAAAGAAAACTAATCAACAGATATACCATAGGTTTTTCTTAATTATATTTATTTCTTTGCCTGTGCTAGGTCTTAATTGTGGCTTGTGGGATCTAGTTACTTGACCAGGAAGCGAACCCAGGACCCCTGCATTGAGAGCAGTGAGTCTGAGCCTCTGGGTCGCCAGGGAAGCCCCTGTCCCATAGAATTTAACAGCATTTGCACTCTGAATTTTTGCCCATCAGCAATTAACGGGCATGAGCTAGTTTGAAAGTTTCAGAGGTGACATACTTGATCTGATAATACCCACACTTTACAAACAGCCCTTTCATTCTGTCAATTTAGAGTCTTAGAATCAAACGTTATAGTTTTCACATAAAGGACAGTTTAAAAGTAAATTTAGAGACATATACTACCACAGAAAATGTGATATTTCAGCTGTCTTTTAGAATTGGACATACAGGGAGTTTGTTCCAGTTATCAGTGTAGAAAGTCACTTTAAAGAAATCCCAATAGTAAGCGGACAAGAGAGACTCCACAAAGGATTGATTACCCAAGAGTCAAGTAACCAGGAAAATCCACCGGTGAGTAATGGCCTTGGTCTGTTTTTCTCCCACTCACCCATTTATAAATCACCCATTCTAATCAGTGGAGAACAATGAGCAACTGTGCCCAGCGTAGAGTGGTGATGGGACAAGCAGGTCTGTGGGATGAATAATCAGGGATATTACTGAGACCCACAGGGCATGACATTGATGGGCTGGATCTCAAGGGACCAATGGCTGTGATGTCCCTGTGGTCTCAGGAGGCTCTGGCTGGGGTGTCTATTGCCTGTTGATATGCTTTAATATGTAAAGGCACTTACAGTGTTAATTCATATGTAAATACACTCTAGCTTTTATTCTTTAATCCAAAGAACAGAAAGGGGAGCAAGAGAAGCAAGACAACTTCTTTGAAAACAGTATAGGACTCTGGATTGCATCGTTGGATCATGATGGTCTTTTAGAGTAAGAGATTCTAGGAATAGTATTGCTCAGGAGTGAGTCTGCTCCTAGTTATCCCAGGTAAATAATCTGCGTAAGAGGAAACCATGTGTCCTCCCACCACCTACCACGAATGATTTCTCCTCTAACTCATTCTTTCATGTGCCTTGACTGGTACATACTCAGTCTTTTCCTTAAGACTCTAATCTCTTGTTGAACTTCAGAATTTTTCTAGATTCAGGAAGTCACATTTTCCCCTTCCCCCATACTCAAAATCCTTCTTTGATTTTTTGCTTTCTGTTTATTGACAGTACTTTTTTTTTTAATTTCTGTGAAAATGTCCATGTATATTTAAGCCTCCTGAGCAGTATTCTTTAAGCCCCAGTGACTATAACAGTGTATTTGCTATAAAAGATGCTGACTACATACTTATTGAATAGATGAAGGATTGCAAACTGACTATGTCACACATTCAACACTTACCTGGTGGGCACTTTCTTTGTTCCAGACGTAGTTGTAATTGCTGCAGATGTGGAAAGAGATGAGATGCTTAAAGAAAGTTAATAGAGACATTAGCTTGGCTTCAGTATACCGTATGGAGAATCCACACTAGCTCTACATACAATCCTTGTAGGTAGATCTCTTTACCCATGTTCTTTTCCCCTTTCCTTCATGACCTTGTGCTAAGATTACATAGCTTTTGAATATTTTAGAACCATAGAAAGATCTAAAATGAAGGCCTTAGTCTCTGCCTATTGGCACCTGCAGATTGAACCTACTCTGCCCCTAAAACGTGGAGTGAATTTTCTAGAATTAGCTACTTTTTAGTGTTGGTTCTGGAATTTTTAATGTTTTGCACCCAGCTACTCATATGCTTAGGCTCCTGCCATTCCTATTGATTCTTTTATTTCTGAAACTGAAGTTCAAATTTCTAATTCCATGAGTTTGCATCAATGATGTGGTATCTCCTGCTTTTCTTCAGCCACCAAACTTACTGAAGCTATAGGTGATGTTAGCCTTGCTGTACTGGAAAGTTCAATGTCCCTCTGAGCTCTGTGGCTTCCTTCACTTCTTTCAAGGGTATTCCCTGCCCTCCTATTCAAGGACACATCCCAAGTCCTGTTTGTGAAACTGAAACATGAAATTTGTCATGGACTAGCACAGGTGTTTCATCACTCGCCTCCTTGATTCTGATTGAAAGGCAATCAGACAGTCTCTAATGCAGAGGCTGAAGGAATGAGCTTTGAAACTATCTCTGCAGCTGGTTATGTGATCTTGAGTAAACCTCTTTGCGTTGCTGAGTCTTGATGTTCAGATCTCTAAAATGGGAAGTAGTTGGCATACTGGTAGTCACAGCAATAGTTTTGTTAGAATTAAATGAAATGCACATCACATGGATACACCAGGTGCCTGCGTGCTGCAGTTATTATTATTTTTACATTTTTAAGACCTAAATATATGCACTCATCTACCTCCTGTGTGCCCAGTAACTTCATCCTCATTCTTGAAAAACAAAAACAATCCATATAATCTGTTAGTTTCATTGAGCTGAATCTAAGTCTTGCCTTTGTTCCCCAGCAAGGCAGCATTCATTAAGCTTCTGGTACATATTCCTGTCATATCGCATGGTCTCCCTCTGTACCTAGTGCACATTTCTTTCTATTGCATGTCTCTTATAGCAACAGGTGAGAAACAGTTATGTCCACAGGAAGACTTTTTATGGGCATTCTTTTCTGCAATAGTAATAACTTATGGAAGCAAGAGTCATTCCCTCTATCTCTTTAGCACAGTTTATTTGATGTAGTTTTGAGCTCACAGTAGCTGCTGAATAAGTCCGTATTGATCAGTGAATGAATTGCTACCTGTTTCCTAGATCATGCATTAACAGTTTGAGACTCTGGCTTGGAATTTTAAAGATAAAACAGACTATAGACAGCGTGACTTATAAGCTCTTAAAAAGGGGTCAGTATATCTAGGTTCTGTTTTTTAAGTTCTGCTCCTTGTTTCATGAAAATACGGGCAAGACTCTTACATTCTTCAGATTTCAAACAACTACCATAAAAAAATTGTATTATGTGAGGTTAGGGTTAATGAATAGTTTACAGTATATTCAGACAGTTATCCCTCTTCATTTCTGTGTTGGGAATGAACTCTGATCCCAGATGTAGCTAACCCAGGAAGAGTACCAGGAGAAAACACTGCTGCCTATCCAGAGAAATGAAAGAACAGAGCAGTCTGCATATGCCGCATCCTTTCCAGCCCTGAGTGTTTCTATTTCAGTAATGCTCTGTTCCCAGTGTTACAATGTTTCTTTTAAAAAATGATTCCAGTTGAACTCAGAAGGATCATATAGCTTATACAAAGTAGTGTATAGCATGTGTAAGGATGGAGTTCCATATGTATCAAGTTCAAAATGGAATATTTGCAGGTAGAAACAGCTTTTTCCTAGCATGGATCAGTTATCTCTACTCTTTCATTCTGCATGCCATCAACAAAAAGAGCATAAACATAATTAGAAATTCTATTAAGAATATCTTAAAACAGATTCCTTAATTTGAAAACAAAGATAATGAGGGGAGAGTAGGAAGGAGAGGTTACCAGAATTGGCCGGGTGGAAGCATTTTCAAATACAACTTCCTGCAAATCAACAAGAGGCAGAGTCACAGATGTAGAGACAGTTCCTCAGAGGTCAGAACTCTTTCTTCTGCCTTGGGTTTGAATATTGTGACAACTTAGTTGTGAGCCAGCAGCACCATCTAGAGGTACACAGCAATCCTGCACACAAAATAATGGAGCCCAGCTATTTAAATAGAGCAAGGCCAAACCATTACTTCATTCCCCCCCGCCTCCAAGATATGCATATATAATGCCTTACAGAATGCCTGTAAACAAATTCCTTCCCATTCCCATCAAGAGATGACTGCAGTGTTCATTATTGGGAACATTCAAGGCTTCACTTCAGAAGCTGAAACTTCCCTCCACAACTTCCCTATTGAGAGGAAAGTCACTGACTGTCAAATCAGTTAATTCATTTCACATATTTTACTGGATACCTGCCATGCCTCGGGCTTTGTGCTAGGCACTAGGGAAACACAGACACGAATACACTACTGGCTGCCCCTCTATACACCTAGCCACACATCCACACCTAACCACATGGGTAAATCTTCTGTCTTATCCTTTTAAGCAGTTTTTGAGTAGTAGGAGTGGGAATCTTTCAAAGCATCCATTCAATTTAAAAAATATATGTTCTGTATAAAACCACCAAGAACTTTTACAATGAAATCATAAATTCAAATAAATTTAGAGAGGTGAGGGTTCCCTATGGTCTTAGAGTGAAAGTGAAAATCGCTCAGTTGTGTCCGACTCTTTTCGACTCCATGGACTATAGCCTGCCAGGCTTCTCCTTCTGTGGCATTGACCAGGCAATTTGCATTCCCTTCTCCAGGGGATTTTCCTGACCCAAGGATTGAACCTGGGTCTCCTGCATTGCAGGCTATCAAACTCTGACGTACGAGAGAATTCCCTAGTACACTTTTAATGATAATCCAGGGTTGTAGACATCGAGCCCCAGATCTTCTCATACTGTCAACATGTGGCATGGCCCAGAATGATTAATTAAATTTGAATGTTTATCTGGTTTTTAAATCAGGCTTTCAGAGGGAAACGCTCTAACTTTGACACACAGAGGAGCTGATTCCAGGATCATCAGTCAGAAGTGTCTTTTTGAAATTGTTTCCACATTTGTTTAACCTACCTCTGTTTATTGTTTAGACTAGATAACACCTAAGGACCACATTACTAGAGTCTGGTACTGCCAAGTGATTAATTTACCATTCCCATCTTGTCTTTCTCTTTGTTTTTTATTTGGCTGCCTTGGGTCTTTTGTTGCAGCATGCGGGCTCCATAGTTGTGATGCATGGGCCTAGTTGCCTCATGGCATGTGGGGTCCTAGTTCCCCCACTAGGGATCAAACCCACGTCCCTGGCATTGCGAGGTGGGTTCTCAACCGCGGGACCACCAGGGAAGACCCAATCCATTCTCTGTACGTCAAATGCAATAACTTTGTAACAACTTGGCCATGGCTACACATTAAAATAATTTTAAGAATCATTCTATTAAAATATAGACCTTTAAGTTTGCTTGCTGCTTGGAGAAAAGCTATGACAAACCTAGACAGCATATTAAAAATCAGAGGCATTACTTTGCTTGCAAAGGTCTGTGTAGTCAAAGCTATGGTTTTTCCAGTAGTCATGTATGGGTATGAGAGTTGGCCCATAAAGAAGGCTGAGCACCAAAGAACTGATGCTTTTGAACTGTGGTGTTGGAGAAGACTCTTGAGAGTCCCTTGGACTGCAAGGAAATCAAGCCAGTCAATCCTAAAGGAGATCAATACTGAATATTCATCAGAAGGACTGATCCTGTAGCTCCAATACTTTGGCCACCTGATGTGAAGAGCTGACTCATTAGAAAAGACCCTGGTGCTGGGAAAGATTGAGGGCAGGAGGAGAAGGGGACAACAGGGATGAGGTGGTTTGATGGCATCACCAGCTCAATGGACGTGAGTTTGAACAAGCTCAGGGATATGGTGAGGGACAGGGAAGCCTGAAGTGCTGGCCTCCCTGAGGTTGCAAAGAGTCAGACACAACTGGGTGACTGAACAACATATTAGAATAATTTTAAGAATCATTCTATTAAAATATAGGCTTTTAAGTTTACTTGTATCCACATTTTGATCTAGGTTTTATTTATATAGAAACATAACATCTGAGAATATTTGTGTAGTGAGCCCCTTGTTAGATTTAACTGGAAATCCATTATATTAGCAAACTCACAGCTGTGAGGCTGTGTGGGTGCAAGGAAGCTGAAAATTAGAAACTTGAGTGGATTTCAATACCTAATTCCACACCAAACATAGGCAAATTAGAGCTGGGGAAAAAAAAAATCCTTCTAAGTTGAAGGCAATTTAGCTTTCACTCTTTCTCATTTTGGCAGCCCCTGTTTTGAAAGATGCCCAAATGTAAATCTGTGGGATTTAAAGAACTAAGCTTTTTGAGAGAAACTTGTAAAATGCCTGTGATAATAAATATCTTTCATGTATCGCCTCTTCTTTGCACTTCCTTTTATTCTCATGGGAAAACGTCCCATTATATCTCATTTGAACCATTAAACTAGCCTAGTAGTGAATTACCCTGATGACATTCTCAAATAGCCAAACATTCCAAATTTAATGTCTACAGCTCCACTGTGGAGAGCTTTTTACATGTCAATATGATTGTGTCCCAGGTGGCTCAAGTAGTAAAAGAATCCACCTGCCAATGCAGGAGAGGCAGGAGACGTGGGTCCAATCCCTGGGGTGGGAAGATCCGCCCCAGGAGGAGGAAATGGCAACCCATTCCAGTATTCTGGCCTGGAGAGTTCCATGGACAGAGGAGCCTGGTGGGCTGCACTCCATGGGGTCACAAAGAGCTGCACATGACTAAGCATGCACCTGCATGCCTGTAACCATATTATTAGAATTATGATTATCACTTATATAAAATCTTTCCATAGCACAGCACTGACTTCAAAACAGACTCCAAATTGGCAGCACTCATTCGTCATTTGACCTCATGCCTCTCACCTCAAACTTTTCAAAAGTACTGAATTCGTTACCTCCTATAAACCCTTGACACCCCTCTATGACTTTGTACATTGTACTTCCTGGATTGTGGTTTGTGATTGTTGCCAGGATAATTCAGCTCAGCCATTACCTGCCCTCTGGAAAAGCTTTCTCAACTGCTCAGGCTGTGTTAGATGTCCCTTCTCTTGTGTTTTTTAGAAACCTATAGATTCTACCATGAGAGATACATAGCATACAAGAAACAAGATGAGGTGCTTAATTCTAATAGTCTTAAAAACCACAGGGTTTATAAGTCTTACCTGTAATTATCATTAAAATGTGAGTTCATCCAAAGCAGAGAATATCCATAATTTTATATTCTATAATTTTTATCTCAGTGCTTATATGTTTAATATGTTCATGAGTGCTCCTATTTACCTCTGTTTACCATGTACCTCAGTTTCCATCCTGAAACGATTGAGATGATTTTCTATAGGGTCATATTTGTTAATCAAATAATGTCATCTGTGACTCTTAACTATAGTTATTCTTAAAACATCAAGTTCCAGAAATATTAATACAAGCCTGGGGGGAGGGGGAAGTCTCAGGGAAGTTCTGGAATTGTAATGGATGGAAGATATTTTACTTTCAGAGAAATATTAGGAAACTCTTGTAGAATTAGCACATTGTTGTTTATTAGTCATTTCTTAAGTTTTGAAACAAATATAATTTTTATCTTTATTGGTATAATTTGGAACTGCAAAGAAATCAGTATCTTGCTGGTGTCAAGTTTCACTTGTTAGAATATTTGATCACTCTGGGTTAACAAAACTAGTCATAATATTGATATTGTTATTTTCATATGTTTTGTGAGAGAGCTGCCATTTCATCAGTTAAATAAGCCCTGGCTCAAATGCAGGTCAGTAAAGCAGGCAAGCCATCTTTGTACTGAAAGATGAATCCTATCAATCAAAACCAATATGAGCATATGATGTAAAACTTGAACTTCCTAGGGTCTCCCCTCTGATGGATTTGGAGAGAACACAGTGGTGATAATCCCTTCACTCACTTTCTTTCATGATATACGACTCAAATTTGACAACATGGTATATTTTATATTCTTGAGATTCCATTTGGCTATGAATTTGAAACTAATGTTAATTGAAATTTTCTAACACTTCTCCCTGACTTCCCATACTTTGGTCCTAAATACACTGTCGGATTTCTCAGAATTTATCCTCTTTTATTTTGTCCTCACCTTTTCCACCTTACCCCTCTCTCTGAAATATACCTTCTATCCATTGATCCTCCTGATCAATGATTACTGTGTTTATAGAAAAACAATTTGATAATATATATGAAGACATTAAAAATGTTCAAATGCTTCTCATTTTTAATTCTCAGGAATCTATTCTTTTATAATAATATGAGGTAAAAGTGTTCATCGCTCAGTGTTGTCTGACTCTTTGCGACCCCATAGACTATAGCCTGCCATGCTCCCCTGTCCATGGAATTTCCCAGGAAAAGAATACTGGAGTGGGTTGCCATTCCCTTCTCCATGGGATCTTCCCAACCCAGGGATCAAACCCAGGGTTTCCTGCACTGCAGGCAGATTCTTTACCATCTGAGCCACAAAGGAAGCCCCCAAAAATATGGATACAGGAGAATCTTTGAATAACAGAGACTTTAATGACAGCTTAAGTTATAAAACAGTTTATAAATTGGAAACAATGAAAGAGTAATGGTGAATTAAATAATTATCAGTTCTCAGGGTAGAAAGCTATAAAGCTACTAGAATCTTGTCTATAAAAAGTTTGTCATAAAATTGCCAAAGTAAACTGGAAAAAAGGAGACAAGGTGTAGGAGTATCTTAATTTAACAAGAATAGAATATAGCACACAAATGTAATAGAGTAGAATAGATACCAGCAACTTGTAAAATCATGTTGAAGAAGATGACCATGCTTACCTACCCACATTTTCTATAATGAACACTTGTTATCCTTCTAATGATTGAAAGGAAACAGAGTAAACTCGACTAAGAAACCAACACACAGAGTGATAAGGCTTTAGACATTCTGCTGTTGAGGCATCATAACATTCAAGTTAACATCATATTTGGATGTTATGTCCTAGAACTTAGAAGGATTTTAAGATCTATTGATCAACTGATCTGTCTACTTACCTATTTATATGTATTAACACCTATTTTCAAGTATCCTCCACATACCTGTTTTGAACCATTCATTAGCCGTTGTCTTTGCAAACTTTGCCATTTGCTAAGCTGTCTTTATAATACTTGTTTCACCTCACAGAGCTGGAAGTTTATCAGATGAAAAGGGGGACAACACATCAGGAATTATGAAAGGGGTTATAAAGAAGATAGGGTTAAGGAAAAAAAGTGAACACAGATAAAAGTTCCTGGCATAGAAGAAATCTTTCATCAATCAATGAAAATTATATCCCCTTGCTAATTGGGCCCAGTGCGTATTTAGGATCCAGGGCATTTTTCCATAACCAGGCAGGGAGCACGCATTAAATAATAATAGCAATTTAAGTATATTCCAGATCCTGATTCTTGGGAGATACTCTTCTATTTCCTTTATTTTATGTCCCCTTCCTATGGTAACCTGATGTCATGGATACATGAATGGAATTAGTTGAGGATTTTTCCTTCCAAGTTTGGCATGATAGTACTGTCTCACAAGGTATCTTTCAGAATCTCACAAAATAAGAAAAGAGATGTACATCAATAAAAATGAAAAATGGGATGACACAGGTACTTTGTTAGTGTAGATTCTGAGAACTTGAAGTAATATTATATTCATCTTTTATTTTCATCCTCATAGAAACCTTAAAAGGAAAACATGGAGGATTTAAATGCACATTTTAACAATTTGAAAACTGTTCCTAATTGGTTTACTGAAGGCTCACGAATCAGTCATGGTGGCTGCAGTGCTCTGTTACTAGAAGTAATAATTGTATAGTAACAATCATAGCAGTAATAGTGATAATAGCCAGAGGAGAGTGCTTGCTATTTGCCAAGCCCTGTTAGCAACTTAAGTTACATGTGGCTATTATTCCCATGGTGCCAGTGACTAAGCAAAAGGACAGAGAGTTTGAATGAAATATGCAAAGCTACCTAGATTTATTTATAGCAGGATTCAAAGCCAGGCATTTTGATCCTACAACCTCTGATAATGTTACCTCTCCAGAAACGATGGGCTTAGAATAAAAGTTCAGTCTAAGACACAGTAGAATGTCACAGTGAAATAAAACTGCAGGAAAGATAGCTTAATGGATACAAGTGTGCACTCTGGAGTCAGACTACACAGGTTTGTAATCAAGGGGCTACTTATGTGTGACTTTTGACCATTGGGACTATTTGTTGCAACTGTATTTTCCTCATCTGTAAAATAGTGATGATTGTATAAGGATGCTGTGAAGACTGGGTGATATAATCCACATTAATAGCTGACATAAATGATGGGTGTGTTTCAGCAAATATTATCATGATGAGCTTAACACATGCAATTAACCTGAGGCTAGAGGCAATGTGGTTATTTATTTTCCACACGTTCTTCTTCTTCTCTTTTTTTTAAACAGGTGACTCTTTTTAAAAATTTTATTTACTTTTGGCTGTGCTGGGTCTTTGGTGCTGCACAGTCTTTCTCTAGTCGTGGAAAGCAGGGGCTCCTCTCTAGTTGCAGTGCGCAGGCTTCTCGTCATGGTGGCTTCTTTCGTTGCAGAGCACAGGCTCTAGCCATGCAGGCTCCAGCAGTGTGCTTCGCAGGCCCCTGAGCACAGGCTCTATAGTTGTAGCACATGGGCTTAGTTGCTCCGTAGCATGTGGGATCTTCCTGAATCAGAGGTTGAACCCAGGTCTCCTGCGTTGGCAGGCAGATTCTTTACCACTGAGCCGCCAGAAAAGCCCCTTATTCTCCATTCTTAATAAAGCATATAGACATGGTAGGTATAAAATAAATGGATGTGAAAATGTCTACAGTTGGAAAAGATACTGCTATAGAAATGGCTGTAGAGTTTACTGTCAAAGTTCAGTTAAGTCCATATGTAGAGGCATATAGACAACCAAGTAATGGCTTCTGGAGGGGAGCAGTCACCGAAGTCTTGAGTGTGTAGGGGAGAAGTCTAACAGGTGTGGAGTGCTGTGGCATTGTCCTCGCATTGTGTCACACCTGTCATAGCAATTATTCCACTTGATTGCAACTGCCTTCTTTTCCTCTCCCTCCTAGATGCTATGTGTAGTTACTGGCTTGCATACTGCCTGGAAGCAAGCCGACATTTTAATAATTTACCAACTAGATGAAAGACAGACTTGCCAGTGGACTAGTACAGCTTAGACTGAGAAGCGCTATCGAGACCTTTCTATGTCTTGCATTAGGAGTCACGGTGGCAGGTGGAAAGCCTGCCCAACATGGCACCTGGTATTCATTAGAGACTTTCCAGAGAAGGTGACTCTTAGTTGAATTTTTTAAGTATTTATTTGGCTGTGCCAGGGCTTTACTGTGGCATGTGGGATCTAGTTCCTTGATCAGGGACCAAACCTGGGCATTCCACACTCCGAACAAGTGTGGAGTCTTAGCCATTGGATGAAGCCCCTCAGTTGATTTTTGAAAGGAGAAGAGACTTTTGGAAGATATTGCAGGTAGGACATCTGAAGATGGCATTGGAGTAGGTGGATATGGAGTACATCTCTCTCCACAGATACACAAGGAATACACTCTCAGACACAGAAGCGCATGCAGAACATCAGCTGAGAGCGGACAGGAGTACCTGACCAGTGGAAAAGAATATATAGAACCACACAAAACTCAGTAGGATGAAGGAACTAGGGGGAGAAACAGGAGTGTTAGTAGGACTGGACCTGCCCTCGGCAGGTGGGGGAACTGAAGCAGGGGTCTGATCCCCACATCGGAGTAAGTGTCTGAATCAGAGGAGAAACATTTAAGGCTGGGAGTGAAACAGCTGATCTGTGGCAGCCTAAATGGAATGAGAATCAGACAGTCTTTGCCGCAGCCATACATACCCCAGACAGGAATGCTGGTCCCCTGGAAGGCGCAGAGGTTGGGAGCTGGAGTTTGGGGAGTGTGGAGTGACCCCAGGGTGAGGGCTGCTGTTGACTGTGGAGAGACGGATTGAGGGGATGTGAAGGAGGAGATTGTTGTGGGAAATGCCTGTGGAGGAAAGCCAGGCAGCCATGGAAACAAGGCAATACTGCTGAGTCATGTGTAGGGGGTGGACCCATCACCATAGCCTCTCTCTCCCCACACACCAGCATCAGCAGCTGAACAGTAGAGAGGCAGCCCATCAAACGCCTGATGCACTGAACTGTAGAGTAGGACCCCACCCAGGGCTCCCCTTTAAGTGCCTGATGCGCCTGATCTACAGACTAGGACTCCAGCCAGGGGTCCCCTCTATGTGCCTGACATGCCAAACTACAGAGAAGGACCCCAGGCAAGGGGGCCCTCTATGTGCCTGAACAGGTGGAGATGTGGAGAAAGACTGGCCTTCTGATCGCCAGCTACAAGAGACTCGAATAAAGGCTCTGTTAAGGCCATAGCTCCTGCTGCGGAGGCAGTCCATGTGTCTGCACAGCTGGTGCCGCCAGGGTCCCCGCAAGCCAGGCAGCTGTGCCACCTTCACCTCAACGCTCACTGGGGCAGAGCTGCCACAGGAAAAAAAGTCTTGTGTCTATGCATGCAGGGTCACTTCGGTCGTGTCTGACTCTTTGCGACCCTGTAGACTGGCCTGCCAAGCTTTTCTGTCAGAGAAGGTGTTCTCCAGGCAAGGATACTGGAGCGTTTTGGTCAATACTGGTTGCCATACCCTTCTAGAGCACTATATTTCCTGCTGCTCTAGCCGCCAACCCCCCTGAGTACCTGGTGCGGCCAGAACCCCTGCGACCCAAGCAGCTGCACCAGCTCCACCCCTGGCCCTCACAGGGCAAACCCAAGCCCTCCAGGGCAGCCTCAGGAGCAAACCCCAGTGGACGACCCACATGCCGAGGTGGAAATAAAACCACGATTGAAACCCAGGGGCAGTGCGGCTAAGGAAGAAGACCCAAAACCTCCCCACCAGCTGTATGAGCTGCAGATTAAATCCACATGATGAACTAAGCAAACTCTGTGTCTATGGAATACATAAAAGGCCATTGAGAGATTTTACAAAAGAAAACACCAGTTCTGACAGCTGTATGCATTGGAGGCAAAAACACACGGAAATAGAACCAGATTAGGATCTGAGCTGCCCCCACAGCAGGTCCAGAGATTAGCACAGTGTTGGAGGGCATCACAGGGAGATAAGATAGACTGTGACTTCCAGCGAGGGAAAGGATTCTGACAGCAGTGACTCAAGAAAAACATTTATTATTCTTATTTTTTGACCTGTTCTGTAGATTCTTCTGGATTATTTTTCACTTTCTTCCCCGCCCCACACCCCCCCACCCGCGTTGTAGTTGTAGATTTTATTGGCACTAAGAAACCCAATTAAATTTTGAGCTTNAGCAAATATGTATTGAAAGAATGCATACATGGCACATGGACATGTTAAAACATGAAGTTTTCATAGATTGAGAGTTTATGGAATAGTTAGATAAAGCTGGACTTACTGTACGGTCCGCTTGCCTCCTAGAATATAAGACTTACTGATACAGGGATAAATAGCAGAAACAGTAGAACAGCATTTTGATATATAGTAAACATACCATGCCAAAGAACTTTTTAGTAATGGAGCTGGAAAAATCGCTTGTCCATAGGGAAGAAAGGATTCTTACCTTAATCGTATAACAAAATCAACTTGAGATGGAATAAGCATTTAAGTGTCAAAAGCAAAAATTTAAATCTTCTAGAAGAAAACAATATAATCTTGATCTCGGGGTAGGGACTTTGTGAACAAGATGAAGAAAACACTTTCCAGAAAATAAAAGATTAACAAATTTGATTTTTTTATTTAAGAAAAAGACATTTTAAAATGAAAAGATAAAAGCTAGGAGAAGATATGTGTAGGACACATACAGCCTATAAAGAGTTAGCATCAGG